AAATGCACTTTACACAATTGATGTATGTATGGATTGTGATAAGAGTTGTGTGAGCACCTAATAAAACGATTTTTTTAAAAAAAAAGAAAACACAAAAAAATCACATGCCAATAAAACTATCTAATTGAAAAAAAAAGAAGAAGAAGAAGAAGCATGCACCAGGCGAGAGTGAAAGAGAATTCATCCCAGGGAACCCGGGCCTTTTAACCCCAGCGGGGGCAGTGGCAGCCCTTGCACATGATCATCTGTCAGGGCACAGCTTATAGAAGGGTATGCGGAGACAGTTTGGTCCACTGCTCACAGCACGGCAAGCACATCTGTACACAGGCTTATAGTGCACCTTTGGATAGTAGCAAACATTGCTTGTGAAAAACAAGACCACTTAGGTAAACACACACACAAGAAAAAGAAAAACACGACCATTTAGGTATATGTTGATGGGGTGACAGGTCATGCCACATCCATGGTATGGAAAGCTGCACAGACGTGTGATAAAATGGCCTTCTGCCAAAAGGCTCCCTCCCTCCTGAACCGAAAGTGTGTGTTGCTGTGGAGCCTCTGGAAGCTGAAGCCATGAGAAGCACTTACCACTCGGTCACCTGGGCAATGTGAGCATTCTCACACCCGACAGGAAGCCTGCCAGCGTCCCAAGTAACATGTGGACCCTGACCTGACCGTCATGTACAGCGCCCCAGCGCAGGCTCCCTCAGACATCACCCAGGGAACATCGCCCTTCTCACTGCTGGACAAAAGCAAACACCCTCCTCAGGCTCCTTTCGGTTCATGAAAACAAGCCCCACTGTAGGTCTTTCATAAACACAAAGTAGTATGAGGTGAACTTTTGAAAAAGTCCTGAGAACCTGTACTGTGATGCACTTACCAAAACGTCACAGAAAGGTCACACTAACTGCTGCCTGTGGGGCGGGCGGCGGGGTCATTTATGACACAGCTCCCATGGGCTTCAGGGGCTTGGACAGAAGAAGATGGAAGCAAGTGAACCTTTTCACACCTGCATGTGGGACCTGTCAAAAAAGCTAAATTCCATGAAGCTGTCAGTCTGCAGTAAGCAGGACCCCAAGACTGAGACCAGGGCTCTGTGCAGACTGTGTAGAAGTGACGTCCAAAAGAAGTTTATCCCAGTAGGGCTGGCAATACCACAGCCCACTGAGACAGCAGAAATGACAAATTAGTCCATAAGACTATTGTACCATCTGGGCCCACAGTCAAGCTCCAAATATGCTCCTCCCTGCAAGAAAGAGCCTGTTGGTTTAGTTCAGTCCCCAGGGAGGATCTACCACTATGTCCTTGGAGGGGGCAAGATAGGGGAGGGCTCTTGTCTGAAAAGCACCAGGAAGGTGGCCATTGGTGGACCTTGGGCTCGTTACACCCATTCCCCAGGGGAAGGCAGGTCTTCCTGCTCCTCTGCTGCCCTCCCTCTCCTCCACACCAAGAGCTCTTAGGAAAGAGTAGCTCAGAACACAAGCAGACTGCTTATATCTTCCACTACACACAACAAACACCTGCAGTTTGCCATCTTACAAAAGGGCAGTCCTTGCACAATGTCATAAGCTCATTGGGAATCACTTGCGATCATCCGGGGTTACTGCCTGTCTCAGTCTGCCAGTGCACTGTAGCTATCTCCCTGTGGGGCGGGGGCTATACAGTGCCTCGGGAGCACTCCCTGTCGGCCCAGCAGGGTCGAACAAGCACAGGTGAGGAGAGGAAACATGTTGCTGTCCGTGTGCCTGTCCCCAGGATATACCTAACCACTTCTCCGTTCCAGGGCTTGAAGACGTCCAGCAAGCAGGACGACGCCTGGATCCTGACACGGCTCATCAAACAACTCACTGACATGGGCTTCCCGGTGACTGGCCACCTCCCCTCTCCCCACCAGGAGGGTCCAGGGTGCCCCTGTGCATGTGGGTGGTGTGTCACTTGAAGGGTGAGGTTGTTGATGTCACCTGACTTGTAAATTCCCAGATGGCAGTCTTACTCAGCCTTTTGACTGGGGACTTTTGCTCTGGACAACAAAAAAAGCCCAGATTATGTCTGTTACGAAAGGTGCCGGGCTTTCTAGACAGCAGCCTGCTGCGGGTTGGGGGGGGGAGGGGGGTTGCTTCCGTTGGCTTCCCACAGCTGTGTGGCTTTGTGTTTTCTTCTGGTGTGCCCCTGAAAGTTGATCTTCATCCATTTGTGCAATAAGTGGGCAAAGCTGGCAGGAAAGATTCCTGCTCCCTGTCCAGAAAAGGCTGCTGCTCCAGCTGTGCAGCGGCAGCCTCACACCAAGGGGTGGTCTGAGAGTGAAGCCTATCTGCTCTGTCTCCGGCCTGTACTTGGAGCTTTGTTCCCCTCACACACGCTCCTCCCAGTCTTTATGCGAGCACTGGGTACTGGGGAGAGCAAAGGCTGCATAGGCTTGAGGTGGGTCGCCCTGGCCTTGGGGAGGCTCAGCGCTGGTGCCAGTCTCTCCCCTCTGGGGTGGGAGGGAGTGGGAGCAAGGCCGGTTAACCAGAGGGTCCCAGCCGCACTGCCGGGCTGGCATCGTGCCCAGGGTCGGGTCTCTAATTGGGGGGGGGGGGTGTCATTTCTTGGTGAGAAGTAATTGCCATTAGAGCTGGAATTATGGGGCAGAGAACTCCCCGTGCTGACATAATCCCCCTGAACACTCCCCACAATGCTGATGAGTCACCCCCAAGCTGAGAAGCTCACACCACCTGCCCTTGATGCCTGAGTGTGGCCATGGCTTCTGAACAGCAGTGGGTCCCACTGGTACTGCACACACCCCTTCACTCCAGATCAGACCAGTCCATCGTCTCGGTCCCATGTGTCTTTAAGCAACTGCCCCTTGTGCCTCGGCAGTGGGAAAGTGGTTCAGCCGCTAGCCAAGACCTCGTACACCGAGAGCGGGCAGTCCTAACAGAAGCTCTCTCCACAGAGAGAACCAGCCGAGGAGGCCTTGAAGAGCAACAATCTGAGTCTCGATCAGGCCATGAGTAAGTCACAGGGCACCCCAGAAGTGCCAGGCTGGGCGAGGGCTCCCAAGGAGGCGTAGTGCCAGCACACTGGCCAGGGCCAGCACAGCAGGCTTGCCCATTTTGTTTGTTTTTCCCAGCACACCACGTGCGTGGGCACACACGCACACTGTGTTTAAAGGGACATGCTGCTAACACAGTTCTAGGATGACTGGTAGCTTGCAGACTCCCTGCAAATAGGGGGACTCGGCAAATGGGGCTTGATGGCCTGGCCGTCTGTCTGGGGAGGTTACCGACCACTTGAGAGGGGCGCTCAGAGTAGCAGAGCCGGGCATCCTGTGTCAGTGTGGCCCCTGTGCCCTGCTTCAGGTGCTCTGCTGGAAAAGAAGGTGGACATGGACAAGCGTGGACTGGGAGTGACCGACTATAATGGAATGGTCACCAAACCCCTCGGCTGCCGCCCACCAATCTCCAAAGAGTCTTCCGTGGACCGCCCCACCTTTCTCGACAAGGTAGGGATGGAGGTGGTCTGTAGCCCGTTTGGGGGTGATATCTGTGTGAACACTGTCCCTGATGCAAAACTTGACAGTTGTGTTATGGAGGTGATGTGAACCTGCTTGTACAGGATGCTGCCTGTACCTGGCCATCACTTTGGCCACCCAGTTGATAGGTGGGGCCAACAGCTGAGACAGCTGGGCTCTCTGGATGGGAGATGGTGTGTCCCAGGGACTGGAGGGGAAATGGGATTTGGGGTGTGGGCCTGCTCCATGGACTATTTGAAGGCCCTCAGATGTGTGGATTGTCAGAGACAGGACCAGCATGGGCATGGCCTGCTCTGCCTTTCAGCCAGCCGTGCGGGCATCACCTGAGATGAAATCCGGCCTTGGTGGAGAGGGAGCTGTCTATGAGATATAATCTGAATGCAAAATTGTGTCCAGGAAGGACCGGGCATGTGCCCGACAAGGGCTGCCCACAGGCCCAGCAATGGGCTGGGGCAGCAGGTATCAGTGCCCATTCTGGCCATGCCAGAATTGCAGAGAGCCATCAGCTAGTCCAGGCCATAACTGACTAAAGGTGTGGTGCCTTGGTTGCCTTGCTTCACCTAGCACCCCCTCCCCTGCCCCCAAACTGGCAGCCTATGTTTGCACTTGAGAAAGCCAGTGGCCCCAATCTACCTTGTTTAAGGTGCCTGGGAGGCCTGTGTACACTTCCGTTCAAGGAAGTTACAAAGTTGCCTGGCACACAGCTCCACCTCCACAAGTAGAAATGAAAACCAGTTCTGGCTGGTGCCCAGTGTGAGATGGAGCCCTCAGAGGGGGCTGCTTCTGTGGGTCAAAGCACTGGAGGCAGCAGTCAGCCTGAAGCCTACCTAGAGGGCACACGTTCATTCAGACACGGAAGGTCTGTGAGGAGTTGCCACTGTCCCTGCCCCAGTCCCCTGAGCCCTCCTCTCCAAGACAGTGTCAGTCCCAGTATGGACGAAGAACATTGCAGTCCAAGTGTGCGTTTATGAAGCATATCGAAAGCCACAACCGCATCGTAACGGCGTTCCCTCTCTTTTCCCATCTTTCTCCCGGCCCACCCTCTCTCCCCAAACAGGACGGCGGCCTCGTGGAAGAGCCCACTCCTTCACCAGTTTTGCCTTCACCTAGCCTGAAGCTCCCCCTTTCCAACAGCAGCGTGCTCCCCGGCCAGACCTTGAGTGGCATGGCCTCAGGGCTGGGCATTCAAAACTTGAATTCTTCACGACAGGTAAGGCTGCCACAGGGAGAGGGCTTAGACACATTTAGAACACTGTCCTTAGACGGTGTGCCTGGTTTTTCAGTAGACCTGATTATGTATAGGTGCCTGGGAGATGGTCAGGATTTCCCCCCAGGGTGACTGGAGGCAATAGCTGAGTGACGGTCCTTGAAATGTGGTCACCTTCTAAGAGACGCTGCAAAACTACGTTCACTTTCACACTGACCTGAATGCCCCTGACATTCAGACTCACCAGCCTTGGCCCTGATGTGACTGACGCTGGTGGCCGCGTCAGTGTGGAGGCAGCTCCATTTCCCAGGTCTAATTGTACACAGTCAAAACCTCCCAAGTGGACTGCCGTGCAGGAACCTCTGTGCTCACTCCTTGCTAAGACACTCAGAGGCTCGCTCGTTGGCCAGGTCCCCACAGCAGCCTCTCTTTGGGCAGAGCTGACACTTGCTGCTGGAAGTCCCTGCAGCCAGGGACTGCTGCCGCACTGTCTCCCCTAGCCCACAGGCTCTCCACTGTAGGACACCAGGCGGACCAGTGCTGCCTTTCCCCGCTGCAGAACCTCCCTCCTCACACATCTGCTCAGCCCTGCACATGCATCGTGGAGCCTTCCCTTTAAGAGCTGCCCTGGGGTAGCTGAGCCGTCCCCACGTCTTCCCTTGACTCTGACTCATAGCCACCCTGTGTGACACTGGAATGACCCCAGGGGTCTCGGGCACATGGCCAGCTCAAGTCTCCTGAGGAGCTGTTGCTGGGCTCCAGTCACTGGCCTTCCAGGTAGCAGCCGAGCAAGTGCTGTCAAAACCTCTAGTCCAGCAGAGAGGGCTGGGTGCTGGGCTGGGTCACAGGGGCTGCTGCCTGGACCTTTCAGCCTCTCTTCTTGAGAAGGGTGGTTAGGTCTCCAGTGCACCTCTCTGCAGGCAGACCGGTCCCAGCCAAGGAGAGACACAGAACCAACCCCAGATAACCTACCACGGGGGTCAGCCCACAGCAGGGTGTATGGGAATGTGTGCTGTTGGCTGTTCAGTCAGCTCAGTGCAGCTCTCATACCAGTGTCTAATGCTTGCCCTAAGTCCCCTCAGATGCCACTGTCCAGGAAGCTGAGCACAGCCCATCCGGGTCTGTGCTATGTCTCACTCGGTGGGGCTCGTGCTTCCGTCAGCAAGTCAGTTGGCTTAGCGCACAGTGTGCCTTTCTCAGGAGCCCTGGTGGTGCTGTGGCTGTGGTGTGGGCTGCTAACCCTAAGGTTGGCGGTTCAGGCTCACCAGCCCCTTCACAGGAGAAAGATGAGGTGGCCCTGGAAGCCCTCAGCGCTGTTGGGCTCTGTGCTGTAGGGTCATTCTGAGCAGGACAGACCCCGTGGCAGTGGGTGGACGGTTTTCCCTTCTGTGTGTGGGCGCACTAAAGGACCAGCTGCAGGAGCACCAAGCTGGCACACTCACGGTGACACAGTCATGACTGGCATGTCTGGGGCCCCTTGGTGAGGGTAAATCGGCATAGAACTGGAATTTTCGTATTGCGGCTTGCGGGCTGGTGCCCAGCGCAGCCCTGATGTGAGGCAGACGTGGACAAGGTGAGGACTGCCTGTATGTCTGTCACTCTCTGGAAACGCGGCCGCCTGGCAAGGGACGCACCACACTTGTAGCCTAGCCTTCCAGGCTGCGGGTCACCCTGGCAGGAGGTGGGGACCAGTGCCTGACACCCACCACCAGAGCTGGTACACGCCTCCTACCTGGTGATGAACGTGCTCTGCTTGGCTCCCTGCAGATACCGAGTGGCAATCTGGGTATGTTTGGCAACAGCGGAGCAGCACAAGCCAGGACCATGCCGCCACCGCCGCCGCCACCACCACCAGCGCAGCCCCTCAGCTCCTCCCAGCCCAGTCTCCGTGCTCAAGTGCCTCAGTTTCTATCCCCTCAGGTCAGGCCTCCTGTTTGCTCGGACAGCCGGGGAGGGTGTGCCCTGCATCTGCCCCTGGGGCTGGCCTCATCCTCTCTGAGAAGATAGCTCGGTGGACTGGCCAAAACTAGAGGGAGGGAGGCCAGGCCAGGTCCTGCTGAGCTGGGAACATTGTGCTTACATGGCAGACACCTGCTTGACTGCATGAGAGACACATTCTCCCCGGCCACAGGAAGGGGCAGAGCCAGGAGGCAGTACCTCCATGCTTCCCTCCACCCACATGGTCACCCAGCCGGGGAGAGCAGACATGAAGACCACTGGCTGTCAACCCTGTTCGGGACACCTGTCTCCTCCCAGGCTGATCACCGCTCACCCTGTGCTCTCGGCTCTACCCGTGTTCCTTTTCCCTGCCCTTCCATGGGCTCTCTGACACGACAGCGTGTCCTCGTCAGAGACTGTAGACCGTCACGTCCCAAGGCCTCCGGGTGGGTCAGGCCCCATGTCTCTGCCCATACCAACAGGGCCCCTGAGAGCCAATGTCACCCTGTGAGCCTAGGGCAGTCTGCTTGCTGAGTCCAGAACAGTGACTTTGGGATGCAGGGTCTTAGAGTCAAGAGCACAAGGTAGTTGTGATAGGAGGGCCACCCTGGGTCAGAACCTCTTAGGAGGGTGACATGGTGTGGTGCCTAGAGCACTTGGGCTGCTGATCCAGTTGCCTGTGATGGGCCAGGCTGTTTGCTTAACCCCATGGGACATGAGACCGGAACCTTACACAGTTCAACCTTGGCACCTGTCACCATTTTTTTTGTTCTTGGGTTTTTTTTTCATGCTTCCTCGTGATTCTTTGACAAAGCCTGTTCCTGCTCCAGTCAGAGTACCCAAGCATTTTCAGTGACCCTAAGCGTCTACTCGAGGGACCTGTCAAATTTTTCCTTGCGTCATCAGTCCAGCGACTTCATGGCCATCAGTGCTTTTTAGTAGGAAGGCCAGGCCTAATGGTGTCTTCTCTGTTGAACAGGTTCAAGCACAGCTTTTGCAGTTTGCAGCAAAAAACATTGGTCTCAACCCTGCACTATTAACCTCGCCAATTAATCCTCAGCATATGACGATGTTGAACCAGCTCTATCAGCTGCAGCTGGTGAGTGGCCAAACCTGCTAAAAGGCGGGGACACGTGTCGGCAGCAGGTGCCAGCTGCTGACAGCATGCTTTGTCTCAGGCGGGGGCCAGCCTCTCTCAGACTGGTCGGGGCAAGGTTCTTTCTCACCAAGGACAGGTGTCTCCCTGGGCTGTGGAACTCCTGCCCACGTCCTCAAAACATGGACCCCATCTTTTTCTGGCACGTTCTTTAATGGACCACTGGGCCAGAGTCACTCACTCAGCACTGGGGCTTCAGAAGTTACTTTAGGGGCTCTATTCTAGATTCTTCCAAAGATGGGCGCAGAGAGCATTCTGAAGCTCAGACAGGCATGAGGTTGACTTCTCCTGCAGCTTCCTCAAGGTGGAGGGCAGGTGTAGGTGTAACCTGGCCTTTCTTGGAAGATCTGTGGTGTAGACCCTCCTGGTGCCATGTATTTACCCCTCAACATATACTGAACATCGCCCTACCCAGTTGACCCAGAAGTCTCCTCCAGCCATGTCAGCTCCTAAGAAATGGCCCTGGGGTGTGCAGGGAGCAGCTCAGACAGCCTCTAGAAGACAGGACCACTGACCAAGACCTTAATCCGTAGGAGCCCCAAGCCCTTTGACTGTTCTGTGCCCCAATTACACATGCATCTCATAAGCCCAGGGTCTGGTCCCTGAGAACAGGGCAGGTTCTGTATTAACTCACAGGACAGGGCTGTGTGCTGACTTCACACCACACCGGCCCCACAGTCACACAGAGCACATGGTGCGTCCTGACAGGACACCCCAGTATGTGTCATACAGGTCTCTGGAATCTCCTTTTCCATTTGCAGTAAGTCCCTATGACATGAAAGTTTTCAAGAGAATGTTGAATTGTGTCTAATGTATTTGTTTTTAAAACATGTTCTATTTGTTTAAAATAACTTCCCAACAGAAAGGAATTTTGATGTTAGTCTTCTTTGGGAGAGCCTTAAGGCTCCCCGCGGCAGCATGTTTCCCAGCTCCCTTGTAAGGGTGGGGGCGGGGCAGCAGTGGGACACACTGCTCTTTCTGCTGCAGTTTGTTTGGGTCAGCCTCTGACCTAACACGAGCAAACCCTGCTGTGAGAGAGGCTGGCGGCTCTGTCCGCATGGTGGCAGCTATGCACCACAACAGCCTTTCGCCCCATGTGCAGGCAAAGGCTTCCCTGGCACAAACGCCACCCCTGTGGGTGGCTGGTCTGTGCGTCATGCTCTGAGGGCAGTTTCCTCTCCTTTTACCCTATGAGCTGAGCGGGGTTTTCTCTCATTCACCGAAATACGCTGGCTGGCACCTTCATTGCCAACCCGGACCAGGAGCAGGGAGGAGTTACTGACTGAAGCCCATTGGGGCACCTGGCTTTCCGAGCCGCACCTCAGTCACCTAACTTTGCCTCTTGCCCGCCCACCTGCAGGCATACCAACGTTTACAAATCCAGCAGCAGATGTTACAGGCCCAGCGTAATGTGTCCGGACCCATGAGGCAGCAGGAACAGCAAGTGAGCACCCTGGCTTTGTGGGGGGGGTGGGAGTGGGGTGGGACTGGACTGGACTGGGGAACAGCTCCCAGCCCTGCTAACTCCTGTGCACGGCGGCGTGCGTCTCCCTGCAGGTGGCGCGCACAATCACTAACCTGCAGCAGCAGATTCAGCAGCAGCAGCGTCAGCTGGCCCAGGCCCTGCTCGTGAAGCCGCCCCCGCCACCTCTGTCTCTGCACCCCTCTGCAGGCAAATCCGCCATGGACAGCTTCCCCCCACACCCCCAGGCACCCAGCCTCCCCGACCTGCAGACCAAAGAGCAGCAGTCTTCACCCAACCCCTTCGCTCCTTACCCCCTCGGTGAGTCCCACCAGCGTACCCACCACACCCACACCACACCACACCCCAGCTCAGTCGCACCAGAGAGCTGGAATTCCACAGGACCCTGTGGGCCCGCTTTGTCCAAACCCTCACTGGGTACGGTCTGACCACCAGCTTCACTCCACTCATGTAGAGTTTCCTTCACAGACGGCTGTCCGTCTCAGCTCACGCTGCTTCACTCACTCACTCCTCCTCTGGCACAACTTCCAGGGCATGGGCTCAGCACAGGCAGGGCCAGGGCCTAGCTGTCCCCTTGCTTCAGTGACCCTTTGAGCATCGTTTAGAATTAGAGACCTTATTTTTTGTTGTTTTTTTTTCCCTCTCAGTCTGTGTGCTAATATCAGAAAGCACACCATCCTGGTTAAGTGAAATGAAAATAATTGGTTTGGCTTCATCAAAAATTGTATGGTAGCATTTTCACCACAATTCAGTAGCAGGGCTCCCAGAAGTCTGGGTAGTTCCCAGTAACGTACTGGGCACAAATCAAGGCGGATTCTGGCCCTCCAGGTCTTTGCAGTGACCAGCCCACTGTGATCTTTGAGTCGGTTCCAACCTGCCCCAACCCTGCAGGCCAGAGGACATCTGTCCCCAGGGTTTCTGAGGCTGAGCAGACAGTCACGACTCTATCCCAAAGAACAGGGTCTGGGTAACTGGCCTGGTGGTTAGCAGTTCACAGCTTAGCCCACTGCACCACCAAGGCTGGCTCCTTGTTTAGCACACCCTTGGGCACCAGGATTTGCGATAAAAACAGGTTTACTTTAACAGCGTTTCATTTCAGCCGGACTGAACCCAAACATGAATGTAAACAGCATGGACATGGCTGCCAGCCTGTCCGGGAAGGAGCCGTCTCCGTCCCAGTCACGCCTGCCCCAGTGGACACACCCCAACTCCATGGAGAGTTTGCCCAGTGCTGCCTCTCTGGACCACAACCCCAGCAAGCTCGGTGCGTCAACCTGGGGCCCCACCCCCACCCCACCAGGCCAACCTGTTCAACAGCCAATTGATTTTCTATAGTCAGGGCTGAAAACGGAGTGGGTAGTATTCCGTTCCCGAGAGTGTGAGGCCCCTGTCAGAGCTGAGCTCCAGCCCCGTACATGCTGGAAAGTCCCAGAGCAGACAGTGAGCCTGGGCCCCCCACGTCTGTCTGCTCAGGAAGGACTGGCATGGTGGTGGAGGCCGCTCTGCCAGACTCCGTGCCCTGAGATGGTACAGAGGCCTGTAGGTGCTCAGGGCAGGGCCAGTTCCCTGGGGAGCCCCACGTCCCCCCTGATGCTCTGTAGCAAGAACGGCAAGGGATTCAGTGGGCCATGTGTCTCTCTCCATAGAAAGTATGTTGGAAAGGGAGAAGAGCCTTCCTGATGGAACGGGCCCTGATGGTGCCATGGGGTAAGGGCTGGGCTGCCAGCCACTCTGAGGGAGAAAGATAAGGCTCTCTCCTCTCCCACAAGGCTTTGCCAGCTCACACACCCGATGTGGGGGTGACAGGAGTCAGAATCAATCGCTCGTGAAGAACCCCGGAAGGTAGACCCCATCCCTGGATGCACGGCCCTGCACTGGTCGGTTTAAGAAGTTCATGTTTCCACCCACAGCCTTGGGGCTACAGAGGGTGAAACACTTCTGACAGCCAGCAGGGAGACTGGCATCAGCCCCCGAGGTCAACGGGCAGCAGCATCCTGTGGGAGAGACTTGCACTTTAGAACGATTCCCTATCTGACAAGCTAGCACTTTTCATACAAGAGCTGTTGTTGGCTCATCATCCACACAGCACCCTGGAGTCACTCAGAATGGGAGGGGCTTCTGTGGAAGCAGCTCTCCAGGCCTCTAGCTGGCCACCCAGGTCTGCCTAGCAGGGCGTTCACTGGGCCTTCACTTCTGTGTCCCCAGGTGCTATCCCTGGAGGTCTGAGTATAGGGCCTCCAGCCAAGTCGGCCATTGACGACTCCTACAGCCGGTACGACTTAATCCAGAGCGGTGAGTCACCGGCCAGCCCGCCCGTAGCCGTCCCCCACAGCTGGGCCCGCGCCAAAGCCGACAGTGACAGGATCTCTAATGGCTCCAGCGTCAGCTGGCCCCCAGGTGCGACCAGGATGGCAGGCTGTGGGGGGTGTGGTGGAACACGGGTTGCTGAGGAAGCAGGCCTTCTGAGGGTATGCGCCCCCCAGCTGTGGCCTCTTCCTGGGAGCTGGTGTGACAGCAGCCCCCTTGGTCTGATCCAGGGGGAGGGCACAGAGGACGGAGAAGGGGGGCTCAGCAACCTGTCTGTTCTAGCCTGGTCCAAAGGCCCAGTGAGTTTCGTGGGAGCGAGTCCAAAGTCTCGCCTCCACGGACTGGAGCAGAGCAGCAGCAGCTAAATGGGCCACGTGTCTGGGTTTTCATGAACAGAATTCCAGCCTGGAGTTCCGTGGAAAGGACTTCAGAATATTGATCCCGAGAACGACCCTGACGTCACTCCAGGCAGTGTCCCCACGGGGCCCACGATTAACACCACCATCCAGGACGTTAACCGCTACCTCCTCAAGAGCGGAGGTGAGGGCGGGCCGTCAGCACGGGGCCTTCACAAGTCATGGGGTTGGTGTTTTCATGGCAGTGTCTGGTGGTCACCCTGCTGCTGACGGGCCTGTTCGATCTAGTCACAGATCAGGGATGCGAGTCCTGAAGGACAGGAGTGACATGTTGATGTGTTTCTGTTCGGCCCCTAGTGGGGTTCTCCATCTGGCCTTCCTGGGAGCAGAGCAGTGGAGGTGCTCTGTGCATTTCGTTTCTCTGTCCCCTTCAGCGTGGGATTCTGGCTCAGACATTCACTTGAGCCGATGCTGTCTGGGCATCCGTTGAACCCTGAGAAGGGAAGTGTGGGCAGCAGAGTGGCCACACTGGAACCTGCTTCAGGCTGCGCTGCCATGGACACATCATCACCCAGGGAAATGAACTAGTAAGGGACACGGTCCATTGTTGTACCACCTGAGGGTGGGCCTGTAGCCCCAGCCCCTGGACACACAGTGGGTACTGCTGGGCTTCCATCTGTAAAGTCCATGGCCTGCAGACTGTGAGGGCACTGTAGTACCCATCCTCGACAGCAGGACAGCCTGAAGCCCCTGCGTGCTGGGGAAGGGGTCAGGCAGGGTTTCCTTCCCTGGGAGGCCAGAATCTCGGGGTCGTGAGGGACAGAGCCAGATGTCATCTGTGCCCTTCTACCTGCCAGCCTCTAATCCTTGGTGGAGGGCTTTTCTATCGGACTTCCCCCCCCACACACACACACACACACACACACTGTTAGCCCAGCCTTCTCCATCCTCATCATCCACCTGGGTGAAGTGCCCCATCCCGGGGCTGACTTGACAGCACTCGTGTGCGACACATGGAAAAGTGACAAGAAAGGGAGTAGTAGGCTCTTTGAGGCTGTTTTGTCATTGTGGGACTGTCCAAGGCTAGGCCTATATGACTCTCTCAGGCCCCAATGATATGTTCTGCTTATTCTGATGGGGAGCCTCTGCCTCCTGAACCTTAGGAACAATGGCCTCAAGGGACGCTGGGCTTGGAACAGGACTTTGGACCATGTCACGCTGGCCACTGCATGCCATTGTTCTCAGTGTCTGTTTGGCTCTGCAGGGCCCTCCCCGTCATCCTCCCAGAGTGCCACACTGCCTGCCGCCAGTGCCTGGCCTCTCAGTGCCTCCGGCTACAGTAGCTCTCTCAGCAGCATGGCATCCGCACCTAGTATTGCAGGTATGCTCTGGCCTCCCTCCAGGTTGCCTTTCCCCTCCCCCACCTCTGTACTCTCCACCCTGTCAGGGATAGCCCAGGGGCTTTGTCATGGTGGCCAGGACCGTCATACATGTCCCCTCACCGCCAGAAGGGGGCGAGCAGGAGTCTCTTATGAGGGGCCTAGTGAAAATTGCACACCTGTCAAGTCCCCAGCGCAGGGCCTGCACCCTCCCCTCTCCACTTCTCCCTCCCCTTCCTTCCCCCAGGCTGTCCCCAATGAAGGGATGGGTCCAGACTCTGCACTCTGGGCGAGTCTGGCCCCAGAAAGCACAGCCGGGCTGTGGAGAGATTTAGCATGCTACTTGTAGATCACCATCCCTCAGTGAATGCTGGGAGTCTTCAGAGATCCATGTGGAGGGTACACGTTTTGGTGTTATTTAGCATCTTGTTTACAAAAGCATCACTTACTTTCCCAATCATTTCCATTCCTTGTTAGACCTTTGACAGTCCCAGAGCCTTTCAGCGAAGGAACAGGCAGAAACTTACCTTCCACCCTCTAGGGGCCTCCTGGGGCATTTGCCAGTTTTCTGTTCAGTGATTGTTATAAAATCAGTTGATGCCAATTTTCAGGGTTGGAGGCTGCTCCTGGGATATCCATGGGGTCTAGGGACCCCGCTAGGGGCAGCGCCTCTGCCTTCACTTGCCCTTGTTCCCTGAGGTTGAGGTGGCGGGGCTTCTGATTTTACGCTGGCTGTGCAGTGATGGTGGGGCTGGCAGTGGCAGGCGCTTGTAAGGGGTGGCAGGAGGAGGGTGCTGCTAGCCTGGCCTGCGTGACCCGCTGGGAAGTCCTGTTTGCTTACGGTGACTTTGCTCTGGTGCATTTTCCCAGGGGGCCCTGATGAGCCACTCCCCTCGGAAACCCTGTGGGGCAGCAACCCCGTCCCCGCCTGGCCGAGTCGGGGCCACCTCGGGTTGGGATGGGATGGACTATAGCAGATGGATGAGGTGCACACAGTCAGGCAAACCAGGAGCGGATGCCGAGTGGGCCCTGGCCCAGCAGTGTGTTTCACCTCGATGTCTGGCTCCCCTCCCTGCTCCTGTGTCTTAGACGTGTGTGCCCTCTGCCTCTCCAGGCAAGCTGTCAGACATCAAGTCCACCTGGTCCTCCGGCCCCGCCACCCACACCCAGGCCTCTCTGTCTCACGAGCTGTGGAAGGCGCCCCGAAACCCGAGTGCACCCACCCGACCACCACCCGGGCTCACCAACCCCAAGCCCTCCTCCACCTGGGGAGCCAGCCCCCTCGGCTGGACCAGCTCCTACTCCTCAGGTATGTGGCCTAGACAGGCAGAGAAGCCATCCTAGATGGCAGGGCTCCCCTCAGAGCTCCCTGCGATGCTGGTGGCTCGCAGGGCATCCATAGCAGGCATCCACCCATGTAGGAGCCCGACTCAGCAGTGCACATTTGCGTCTGTCGGGACATAGGCCTTGTGTAGGAGCAAACAAAAGCTATGGCTCTGCCACCATGCTGCACCTCAGTGGGCCCTTGGGTGCCCTGGCCACGCTCTGAGCAGAGAGCTCTAGATCCTTAGGTAGAGCTTGAAGTTACTGCTGCTTGTTTTGAGTGTGGCAATGTTAACCCTTCGGTCTCAGCATGTGCGGTAGCTGTTCATTTCTAACAGGCACACGGGAGCGTGGGTTCACAGGGGGCCCGGACAGGCAGAGGTGGTAGTCAAGCCAGGTTCCAGGGCTGGGATTGTCAGAAAATGATGTGACCTTTCAGAGGCTGAGAAGGGCTTTCTTAGGCTGGTGGGGGGACACGAGGGGGGGACTAATTCCCTGTCCTTGGAGTCAGAAAACCACAGGTACACTGAGCTCACCCTCCAACCCCCGGGTTTACCACACAGGTTCTGCTTGGAGTACTGACACCTCAGGAAGGACCAGCAGCTGGCTTGTTCTTCGAAACCTCACACCCCAGGTGAGCGCCCCAGTGTTTGGTGCACACCCAGCCCAGGGAGAGGTGTGGGAGTCAGCTGGGTATTGGGCGCTGCGACTGAGTTGCGGCCAAGGTGGCTGTGAGCCCTGCTCCTGTTCCTCAGACCTTGCAGCCCCTGGGGCCTCATCCCCTGCTCTATGAAGGCACCTGGCACCTCTTTAGATCAAAGGCTATCCATGAGGTGGTCCTGTGAAAGTGCATCACACCCCATCAAGGGGCCCTGGCCTTGGCCCTGGCCAGCTGAACTGTCCACTAGATGGAAGGAAGCAGCTGCTTGGAGGACATGGGGAGTTGCCTGCAGAAGGGACGCAGGATTTCTAGTCAGGAATAGAAAGTTCTGGCAGTAACTGGTGACCCTGTGGGCATGCATAATGCCACTGAATTATATGCTTGAAAGCAGATTCAAAAAACAAAACAAACTCACTGTCCAAGAATCACTTCTGACTCAGAGACCCTATAGGACAGGGTAGAACTGCCCCTGTGGGTTTCTGCCTCATTTTTCTCCCATGGAGTGGCTGGTGGTTTTGAATGGCAGACCTTATAGTTAGCATCCCAACTCGTTGCCTATATGCCACCAGGGCTCCTTGGAAGGGCAAACTGCAGTGCTATACTGCCCAAAACCAACCCAATTGTCAGGCTGGAGGAAAGGGTTGTGGTTTGAGTGCATGTGTCCCATGTGGCTGCCCCACCCAAGCACCGAGTGGCCTTTTTCCTCTGCACACAGATCGATGGCTCCACGCTGCGGACGCTGTGCTTACAGCATGGTCCTCTCGTCACATTCCACCTCAACCTGACGCAAGGGAACGCCGTGGTCCGCTACAGCTCCAAGGAGGAGGCCGCCAAGGCCCAGAAGTCCCTGCACATGTGCGTTTCTACCCCCGGGTCCCAGGCTGCACAGGCTGACACACTGACTTGGAGGGAGACTTCCCGGGGAATGTCAACAACGAGCCCACTGCCAGGCCCCCACCCCCTCCTCTAGTGGGAGCCACCTTTGATGACAGGTGTGGGGTGGGTGGGGAGCCCCGCAGAGAGCAGGGGATTTAGTTAAGCCTAATTCTCTCTCAGTCAGTAGTCCCAGGGGGGAGCTGTGGGCCATTGAATGCCCTCAGCTGCTCCCCAGATACCCTAAAAGGCTGGGCAGTCTACCTCTGTTGGACGTCCTGTGGGTGCTGTCTGGCACTGACCAGTGGAGTGGCTGAAAGTTGAGCCACCGGTTACCCTTTTCCTGGTGGCTGATGCCCAGGATGAAGGACACACGGGGCCTGGTGTCCCCGGAGGAAGGTTTGGTGGCAGCCACCGGTCCCTGCTCACACCCCTCCTTTCCCCCATTGCAGGTGTGTACTGGGCAACACCACCATCCTGGCTGAGTTTGCCGGAGAGGAGGAAGTGAACCGTTTCCTGGCACAGGGCCAGGCGCTGCCTCCCACCTCCAGCTGGCAGTCCAGCTCCGGAACCAGCCAGGCCCGGCTGGGTGCCTCGGGCAGTGCCCACGGTCTCGTGCGTGGTGACGCCGGCCACTGGACCGCCCCATGCTTGGGCGGCAAGGGCAGCAGCGACCTGCTGTGGGGCGGGGGGCCCCAGTACTCGAGCAGCTTGTGGGGCCCCCCTAACGCAGATGACAGCAGGGTGATCGGCAGCCCCACCCCGCTGAACACGCTGCTTCCGGGAGACCTCCTGAGCGGGGAGTCCCTCTAGGCTGGAGAGGGCCTGGCCTCTGTCCTGGGGAGGGACCCTCGGCGCCTGCGCGCTGCCACCGCAGCCCCTGAGAACTGTTGGCTCCACAGTGCGGGCTGCCTGGTCGGCGTCGTGTGCTAATGACAGGATCGTTCCACAGCTTCTGATTTGGTGTCGTCGTCGTCTCCGCCGCCGCCGCCCTACTTTGGTACGGAGTGGTGTCGTTTGGTTTTAAGTGTAAAGCTGCTTAGACTAGTGTATCATGAAGGGCACTTTCCGACCGGGGCTGGAAAGGGTTATTTTATCACTGCGGGCGGGCGGGAGGGGCGGGGAAAGCCTATTTAAATGAGCCTGTGATGATTATGCACATTACCAGAGGCGGCCCTAATTAGGGGCGGGGTGGCCGAGCCTGGCCGCACAGAGGATGGACAGACGTCGCCGGAGGAGTGGCCTCCGCCCAGCGCTCCAGCCCCAGGGACCTGCCTATGCACATTACCCTTGTGTCATTACTTTTTCATGTCATTTTTTTTAAGCCCAAAAAATATTTTTTAAACTTTAAAAAAAAAAAAAAAAAGACATATCAAACATGCAAATACTTGAATCCAGCAGGCCAATAAGGAAATGTGAACACTTTCTAATTCTACACTTCCGGGTTGGCGTCAGTACACTTCCGAGTAGACGTCAGTACACAGAAACAGGCTCTAGGAGACATTTCTGAGTTCATACATAGCCTAGGTGTGTGTGTGTGTGTGTGTGTGTGCGCGCGCGAGTGTGTGTGCGTGACAGCGTGAGAGGATCTAACTGTGTGTTCTCGATGATTCAGTATATGCTTGGATTATTTTCCTTTGGCGCATCGGTCAGCCGTTTAATTGCTAGCGTCTAACTTTGCACTGAGCGTCCGGCCCGCCCACAGTGGCCCCGCGGCCGAAGACTCCCGGGCGGCGGCCACGCGTCACGTGTGATGTTTACTCAAGGACTCTGCTGCGGTGACGCCCGCAGCGCCGCTCGGGGGACAGGACGCGTGCCCCCACCCCACCCCACCCGCAGCTCCGTCCCAGATGAATGCAAGAGCCGACCACCAGAGTATTGCACCATTTCTCCGCTTGGAAAATAAAGGTTGGAGAGAAAGGAACACACGAACCGTTGAGAACTGTGGCCATAGATACTTGTGTGGGTGGTTCCCGCGGAAGGAACGGAATAAGCACTTGGACGGAGTGTGACTGCTTTCGGAGGGGCCCGAGCTGTGGGCTCCCACCTGTTTACAGACCTTTTTTTCCCCCTCCTTCAAAACTTTAAAATTAAAAAAAAAAAATTAAAAAGGAAAAAAAACGCGTCGTAAAGAAACCTATTTTCAAATGAGATGGGCTACTTCAGAGCTCTGGGTGACAGTGTTGTGGGGGCCCCGCCCGCCGCGTCTCCGTCCTCTGGTGGCGTCAGACGCACAGCGGGGGCGTGGTCTCCGTCTTGCACACACGCTGGACGTTCCCTCGGGATAGCCAGGGTGCCCGAGCGGCAGCCCCACACCGGCTCATGTGTTTCTAAACCCAACTCCTTAGCACTGAAGATGTTATTAAAAAAGGAAAAGGAAGAAAAATAAAAAGAAATACCTAATCTCTAATGTGTAGCAGTTCCATATTTACCAAATAATGGACTCAAAAGAAATAGATGTCTGAAGAGTGCTTTATATATTAAAGATTGCTTTATGTTTTAAAATGATCAATGTTTTGATTGTTTTGCAAGGAAGAAAGACAATGGAATAACATGCCCTGGAGTATGTTTAAAAAAAAAAAAAGATATATATGAACATTGTGCTCTCTGCCTGCCTGATCAGGAAACTTGTGCATTACATTTTTTTAAATTAGCTTTTTAATGGTTTTATCAAAAAAAAAAAAACTAAAAAGAGGTCCTGCAGGACCACAGACGCCGGAAGCTGGTTTTCAGAGGATCATGAACTATGCACAAACTGGGTTCCAGACGTCTCTCTCGCACGCGTTTTCTTCGTGTGGTTAGCTCTGTACGCCTCCTCAGAGTAATAGCATCTCATGGCCGTTACACGCATCCTCTACATTTGATGTCCTCATACCTACAT